ATTTTTCTACAATTCTGGATGATAGCTTTCTTAGACTTTTCTTAGTTTCATAACTAATGGTGTCAAATCTTAGTTCCTTTTCCAACCTTCTCCTCTCAGACAGCAGCTCTTCAATCTCCCTCCTCCTTAAAGCAAACATCTCTATAAATCCTAACAAACTGAAATCTGAGCTGGAAACTTCCTGCAGCTTGAGTCTCATTTTTACTGATATCTGATGTTTAAATGAGTCGATGTGAGCCTGAAGGAGCAAAGGTGGTAGAAGGCAGCGATCATGGCCTTTATGTTGTTATAAAGCGTTACCCGGCGAAGGCGGTGAGGGCGACGGCGGAGTAGGGCGACCAGGAGATGACGTAGAGCAGGATGACGATCAGGGCGATCTTCGCCATCTTCCACTCGTTCTGCAGACGGTGGAAAGTCTTCACCGAGTCCCGGGAGCTGCTGTGGCTGTGGGTGCTGCCGCTGATCTTCCCCACCGCCCTGCAGGCACAAACACGCCTCACTGGAGCGGGAATGATGCAGACCCTCGCCCTGACACCGACGCAACAGAACCAGAACCGGGGGAAACGGGACTGGACCTACTGGTTAGTGGAGCGAATGGCTCTGAAGATGAAGATGTAGCAGTAGATGATGATGAAGAGCGGCAGGAAGAAGACGAAGATGAAGAGCAGCATGGTGTAGGCGCGCACGGATGGGGTGAAGGTCATGTAGTCCCACGTACAGGAAGTCAGGAGGCCCTCAGGGACGTAGGCGCCTGATGGGCGAGAGACAGGAGCAGAGAGAGAGAGAGAGAGGCTGAGGTTTGCTACTCTGCAGGGGGAGGAGTCTGTTGCCATGGCTGCGACGCCCTTTCCTCCATCTCTCTTACTCCAACCGAAGAACGGTGGCAGGCTCCAGCCCAGGGAGTAGGCCCACGCCACCATGAGGATGAGGAGGGCCCGTTTCCTCGACAACACGCCGATGGAGGTCAGAGGTCGCGTGATGACGAAGTAACGGTCGATGGCGATCACCATCAGCGTGATCATGGAGCAGATCCCGAACAGGGCGCCGCAGAAGGCGTAGAGCTCACAGCCTGAGGGAGGAGGAGAGGGTCGGATCAGACTGGTTCTACTGGGATCCAGCACACTGGTTCTACTGGGATCCAGCAGACTGGTTCTACTGGGATCCAGCACACTGGTTCTACTGGGATCCAGCAGACTGGTTCTACTGGGATCCAGCAGGCTGGTTCTACTGGGATCCAGCAGGCTGGTTCTACTGGGATCCATCAGACTGGTTCTACTGGGATCCAGCAGGCTGGTTCTACTGGGATCCATCAGACTGGTTCTACTGGGATCCAGCAGGCTGGTT